ACAGGTTTCGCTTATGAGTTCTTGGTTTAAAGTTAACAGATTAGGGGCTGGGGGTGTACCTCAATGTTAAAGCACTTGCCAAGCATGTGCAAAGCCCTGGTTTTGATCCTCAAAAAATAAAAATAAAAAAAACAAAGAAGGTGGCAAGTCCTTTCATAGGCCTTCAAAGCAAGGATATCAGATGCAGAAATGGCCTTAGCTATGAGGTGGACAAAGACCCTCAAGGGAGCAGGAGACAGTTTCCCGATATGATCAACAACCTATCTTTCTTTCTCTCTCTCTCTCTCTCTCTCTTTGTCTCTCTCTCTCTTTTTGCAGTTACTGGAGCTTGAATTCACCCTTTTTTTGTGATGGATATTTTCAAGATAGGGTCTCACAAACTATTTACCCAGCCTGGTTTCAAACCGTGATCCTCCAGATCTCTGCCTCCTAAGTAGCTAGGATTACAGATGTGAGCCACTGGTGCCCAGCTAAAGTCCATATCTCAATTTGGACCTCTGTCTTCTATTTTTCTATTCTTACATTCCTGCTCTCACTGGCCCTGTGTGAGCTGCCTCAGGGCACTCCTTCTGGCTGTGAAACAGGGTTAATGAGCAGCTGACCATGCTACCACAACAGTCAGAGAAAGAGCTGATAGAGTGGCCTTGCCAGAGCCCACTGCAGAAAACTATGCAGCAAATGGAAGGAGGCTGCAAAGCCCTAGTTTCAAACATCTGTGTCTGAGATACAGTTCAAAGCATAGGGATTTGCAGGGCATTCTGGGTAGCAGTGAGAAACCTGTGGCCTCCTTTCCATCTCAATGAATCAGAGGATGGGGAGGGCTTCCCGTGGCCTTCAAGGGAGCTCCCTGCATCTCCCCTGGGGGACAGGCATGAGGGAAGGGATGAGAAACATCTCCCCAAGCCCTCCAGATCTCTTTACATTTTCATTGTTTTGTTTGAAAGAGAAAAACTTAAACAGAGAAGCCAAGGTACTGAGCAACCAAATGCACACAGCCGGGAGGCTACGCATTCGGGTACCTGCCTAAATATTTGTTGGCTGATGAGGAGAGGGAAATCACTAGTGGGGTTCAGGGCAGGGATCCAAGGTTCCCCGATGTGAAAGGACTGGGGATCAGCTAACCCCACATTCTGCAGAAGAGGAGACAGAGGTCTAGAAAGATAGATGGTTATATTCAAATTGCATGACTAGCTGCTGATAAGAACCAGCCAAAGCCCTGGATTTCTGGGCTGACTATGCACTTGCCTTCCTGTGGCTTGGCTAGTGAGTGACATTCTAAAAAGACATAGTTTGGTGATAAATGTCCTGTGATCTGTTTAGAACATTGGGGTCTACTTAGCAAGGTACCTTCAATGGTCCCAGCCTCTAATTCAGACTGGCCGTTCACCTGTGATTTGATTCTCAGAGAGACACAGCAATGAAAAGGCAGCCTGAAAAAAAAAAAAAAAAAAAAAAAAAAAGAAAAACAAAAAAACAAAAAAACAAAAAAAAAAAAAAGAGAAAAGGCTGCCTGAGAGCTCTCAATTTTGCTTCAGAGTCTCCACTCTCAGATGACAGTGTCATGACATGACACCGTGGGTGGGGCACAGTGTCAGGGGAAGATGGAAAGGAAAGGCCTGAGGAGACAATTGAGAGGGTGCTAATGTTCTCTCTCCTGGAAATTCTTTTCATATTTAAAGAAAAAAATATTGAGAGAACAGAGAGCACCAAGTACTTGAAACCCAAAGTACTTTCTGTGCCTTCAGCCTGTGATGTTTTCAGTTAGAGTTTGAGAACTGGAGAAGTGTAAATGAAAGAAGAAAGTGTGGTGGGGAGGTGGTAGAAATACTCAGGCAAGGGTGAGCCCACTAGTTTGGGTGGGAAGCACATCACTAAACTATACGTGGCCAGACAGAGGTTTGGGATATCTCTATCTCGATCTCTATCCATATTCAAGACAGAAGTCAAACGTGCAAGGCCCTTCCTAACTAGGCCTTCCCAAGTTGTCTGGTTGAACCTCTCACTACATATTCTGATGCATAACCCAAGTAATAGCCATACCTGACTATTTGCTAAACACTCATTCAGCACTTACTACCTCCAACCAATGAGCAAATAAACATATGGCTCGTGAAATAATTCATTTATTCATTTACGCTGATGTGCTTGCAAGAGCATGCGTGTAAGCATTCTTTTTTTTTCCTCCCCACCCAGTATTCTTTATTTTAAGGGCTGAAGGTGTGGCTCAGGTGGTAGAGTGCCTGCCTAGCAAGTGTGAAGTCCTAAGTTCAAACCTCAGTACCACAAATAAAAAAAAAAAAAGTATTATTTTAGCCAGGTGTGGTGGTGTACACCTGTAATCTTAGCATTCGGGAGGTTGAGGCCAGGAAGATCTGGAGTTCAAGTCCAGCCTAGGCTACAAAACAAAACAAAGCAAAATAGCATTTCTTTTTTCCTTCTCCCTGCCCCTGAAACTGGCTTGCAGTCTTTGGCCTTGTGTTACAGAGAGCTGAGGGAATACTGGGGGTCAGGAAGAAAAGCTATCACAGGAGGGTGGTAGTTAAGGCTAGAGGAATTTCTTGTTGTTGGGGTCTCACTGTTGCAGTGGGCTCAAGTCATCCTCTCCTCTCAGCCTCCTGAGTGCTGGAACTACAGGCACCTGCCTCCACATCTGGCTCAAGAAGGAGATTTTTTTTTTTTTTTTTTTGGCGGTACTGGGGTTTGAACTCAGGGCCTCACACTTGTTAGGCAGGTGCTCTACCACTCAAGCCACTCCACCCCTTCTGTTTTTTGTTGGGTATTTTTGAGACAGGATCTCCGAAACTGTTTGCCTGGGCTGCCTTCAAATTGTGATCTTCCTGATCTCTGCCTCCTGAGGAGCTAGGGTCACAGGTGGGACAGGTGCCCCATGAGGAGGAGATTTTTAAGGATTCCAGTATGTGAGAAAAACCTGATGGACGGATAGGAAAGAAAACAAAAGGATCTTTCAGAATGATTGGTGATTCTGTATTTCCTCCTCCATGTAAGGAATTATAAATAAAGACCTTGAATAGTTTTTGAAATTACTTTTGGTTACACAGAAGGTGTTTTTCAGACCTAGATGGCTCTCTGGGGATGTGACTTTATACACTGTTTGCATTCATTTCCAGGATAAATATTCATGAAGCTGTCTATATATGCAGCCACCAAGCAGGATCCAACAAAAGGGACCTGGTTCCTGTTCTCCTGAAGCTTGAAAATATGAAATATGAATTGATCTGTGATGTATACTTTGAAGGAAAGAAGCACAGTGCCATGAGAGAGGAGAGAGAGAGAGAGCGAGAGAGAGATGGGAAACAACTTTATGTCATTGGAACGCATCCTGTTTACACTTCAAGGTCTTTGTTTGTACTTAACATTGAAGTACTTTTTAAAAACCGTGTACTCTACCACAATCTTAATATTATACTGAAAAACTCAAATGTCACCTTCAAGATGCATTTTAGGTCCCCCATTTGGGTTATTCCCTCCTGACACATTGCTTGCAAGTCTATTGTAATATAGAATTCATTCTGCCAAGTATGTACCTATTGTAGAGGGACTGACTGTTCCAGTTTTCTGGGTACCAAAAAAGTTTTCTGGGATGCAGGACTCTTCCATGGATACAGTGCTAAAACCCGGGCAAATGGGTGAGTTGATGATCCCCCTAACATGTCGACAAATTTGTCTTTCTTTTTGCATCCAACACTCAAGGAGGAAAGGAGCCACACCTTTTTTTCTACTCATGAAATGACTTGTGCACAGAGAGTGATATTAAGAACAATAATAGTTAATACTTGAGCATTTATGACTTCCCATGCCCTGTGCTTAGCTCTTTACAACAACCAAATGAGTTAAGTCATTTTCCCTCTTGTAAGGAAATTCAGACTAAGCCAGTTAAACCAGGATTTGAGAGGATGGGAGCCATGCTAGCACTGTGATTCTCAAACTTTTTGATCTCAAACTTTACACTCAGAAATTATTGAAGACCCCAGAAAACGTTTATGTGGGTTAATGTATTGATAGTAACTATTGGAAGTTAAAACTAAGAATTGAAAGAAATTCATTATACTTAAATATTAATTCACATTAATATTAACAATCCTTTTTCTTGTTTTGTTTTGCGGTACTGAGGTTTGAACTCAGGGCCTACATCTTGAGTCACTCAACCAGCCCTTTTTTGTGATGGGTTTTTTCTAGATAGGGTCTCTCGAAATTATTTGCTTGGGCTGGCTTTGAATCGTGATCCTCCTGATCTCTGCCTCCTGAGTAGCTAGGATTACCAGCTCCTGGCAACAACACACTTTAAATGAAACATAGTAACAGTGTTTCCTAAAAATCTAAACTATGTTGGTGAAAAGAGTGGCAAGTCTTAATGGTTGGCTTACTGGAACACAGAAGGATTCTCTGTGTTTCTATCTACTTCCTCATTTGATCCGCTGCATTAAGTACCATGTAGTTCGTAAAACTCCACTGTACACTGGTAAGAGAAAATGAAAATAACTTCTTATAAGGATTATGATATTTATATATTTATTGTTTGAAACAATAAATCCCACATTCAGACTTCAAAACCTCGATGGCAGAGATTAGTGGAAGTCATTTTCCGTTTGCACAAATGTTTGTAGACTGGGTCTGGGACAATCCCGGGGACACGAGCAGAGCAAGGAGATAGGAAGGACCACAGCTTTGAAGTACCCTAACTGCGAGGGCTTTCTTCCTGGTCGCCCAAGCTGAGCTCGATTTTGTACTACAATTCCCGGCAGAACTGGGGGCGGGGGGGGGCGTGTCCGTAGCCGCGGAAGGAGCGTGAATGACTCCAGCTGATGACGGCAGTGAGAGAGGGCGTGGCTTATTTTTTTAAGAAGATGTGGTGCCACAATTGGAGAAAACGGAAGAAGGGGCGGAGCTTGTGTTTGGGTCAGCCAATGGTTTGCGGTCAGGCGGAGATTGGGGGGGAATGGGTGTGGCTAGGGCCACGGCGTGGGGCTCCTGGAGCCGAGGGACGCGGGTGAAGGGGTTGTGAAGGCGCCGTACTAGGCTCTTGGCAGCCAGGCGAGGGAGATGGCGGCGCGATGGAGCAGCGAGAACGTGGTGGTGGAGTTCCGCGACTCCCAGGTAAACTGGGATGGGGGGAGGGAAGGAAGGGAGGGGGTGTTGGCGAATGGAACCTTCTGGGCATGCGCTGTCCATGGTTCCCCTCCCCCACGCGGCCGCGTCAGTCGGGGGGCGACAGAGACCCCTCCGGCCCTGATTGGAAAGATAGGAAGGGAGTGACCTGGAGTTGTGACACCCAGGGGAGCTTCGATGACCGTTGGGGGCGGTTCCCCGCTGGCGTGTGGGGACTGGGGTCCGCCTTGGGACACTGAGGCGGAGATGGCGTCGGGGATGGTGAGAGGCTCGGGGTCCGCTCCTCTAGGCGGGCGGCTGCACTTGGCGACCTGGGGAGGTTGCAGAACTTCTCTGAGCCTCAGCTGCGTGGACGTAATCTTGCCCCACACAATTTTGAGGTGGCTTCGAAGAAATACTGCTTGCAAAGTGCCCGTTTCCGCGCCTCACCTAAGTGGTTGCTGATGAGTAGAAGCAAATTCCGTGTCATGTACAAAAGCACACGTACTGCCCGGCTTTGAATCTGGACGCAGCCCCTACTCTGTACATGTCAGTTTTCTCACCTGTAGAGAGGAAATCTTGTATTTACGTCAAGGATTGGCATGAGAGTTACGAGGTCTCACTTGTAGAATGTGTGGCACTTTGACACATGGCAAACCGTACGCATTTACCATTTTTCTCTCCATTTGTCAGGCTTTGTGCTAAGTGATTTATCTATAGTTTCTTTTTCAAATTAATGAAAGAACCATGCAAAGTGAGTAGGTGTTTTCTCCTTATTCCAGAAAGGGAAGCTGACCCCCGTTTGGTTGATCTGCAGGGACTTGGCTGTGACCTCCAGTGATGTGACTGATGGCATGGGATCTGGACACAGGCTCTGATGTCTTTGCCTCTTAGCAGCTCAGAACCTGTTACACAACTGCTCCACAATAACTACTGTTTTCCTCTTTTCTAGTACCTAGGTCATCACTTGGTTTTTCTCCTTTATTTGACAAATATTTATTAAATATCTTCTGTGTGTCAGACTTTTATTCACTCAATTATTCAAGAACTTACTCAACTCCTACTGAGTGCACACTGTGCCAGGCACTGTGTTGCTACTCTGTTGGTTTACACTGAGGGAATCTGGATTACAGTAAGTGGGTGTTGAAGGTCTTTCTAAAATCCCATCCTATCTTTCACTATAATGACTGTGCCAGTCTGCTCTGTGGTAACCTCGGATGAGTAGCGCCCATGGAGAATTTGACCAGCAGCTTTCGAATTAAGAGATCCTGAAGCTCAGTGCACTGTCAACACTGTGTCTCTGGGAGGCCTGGTTTCCCAAGGGATGTGCCAGACTCCCCGGGAAAAATAACCATATTGCTGTTACCCTTCTTGTTAATTGCTTTCACCGGGGTGTAGGACAGAGTTGAATCATGTATCATGGTGTCTGAGCCTGCTAATTTGGAAGATACTAATCTGCAAACCCTTCAATTCTCTCAGAAACCCAGGTAGTCTCACCCCAATTTCTTTACAGAGATGTAATTGAAGAGACCTGCAGAGAGGGTGCTGACACGTGTTGAGGTGCTATGAAGTAGGAGCAAATAATTAGGCCTGAACAGCAGTTGTCATAGAAAGAGAACAAAGTCAATTGGGTAATTTAATTGCCTTGTGGGAGTTTCTGTTTTTCTTTCTGATTTTTCTATTTAGTTGAGAGGGTGCATCTGTACTGTGAATTAGCATGGTTTTCCAGGGATGATTGGGAGGGACAGAGGACTATGAACTGTTTCAATAATGTAGAAAGAAAAAGTTTAAAAATCTTCATATTGCCTTTCTGAAAAGACTAGAATGATAAACCTTTCAAAAATGCTCCATATCCTTAAAAATTTTTCCCCAGAGGAAAACCCCAGCCTGAAAGTGAAATCCTTTTTTATATAGATTATACAAGCATAATTTACTTTATAAAACAATTTTTTGTGATATTACTGTCACTGATTAGTAGTAAAGAGCCTGTACTGCTTGGCCCTGCTTGAAATGGTTCCCAGAACCAATGACTGTTAGCACTCCAAGGAATGTCATCCGTAGACTTTTCAGTGATGATGGAAGTGGAGCTGGTGTGACTGAGATGTTGTATTTTTAATTTAATTAAAATTTTATGGTCGTTTAAATACCCACTTGTGGCTAGGGACTAAGGTGACAGAAGTGCAGTTCAGAGGGCTGAGAAGAGTGTAGATTAAGAAGTTTCCACTCTCAAGGAGAAGCAAGGTGGCAGAACATGCAGCTTCCCATCTCATTTAACAGTGCAGGCAAAAATGCTACAGTAGGGGCTGGCGGTGTGCTTAGCATGTATGAGGTCTTAGGTTCAGCCTCCAGCACCAGAACATACGACTATTAAGAGGAAGACAGGAACTGCACACTTACAGCAGCATGCTGCTTATTGTTTGCACTTGAGGATTTATGAAATAGCTCAAGGTCAGCAATGTCCAAATACCTGAACATGCTTGGGACGGTTACTCCCTGCACCCCTGCTTCTTGCCCCCTTCTAATCCATCCTTCACACAGCCAGTTTTTTTTTTTTTTAAATTCAGGTTTATTGATATATAATGTACAATAAAGTCCACTCTTTTAAGCATACAATTTGTTGAGTTTTTTTTTTTTTTTTAGACAGTCTCCCTACATAGCCTAAGCTGGTCTTGAACTCCAGATCCTCCTACTTTAGGCTCCTGAGTGCTGCAATTACAGGCATATGCCACACCGAGCTTAATTTGATGACTTTTGACAAGTATATATAGTCATGCAACCTGTAAGATACAGAACATGCAACGACTAAGATTCAGAACATTTCTACTACTCCAAAGAATTGCAACTGCTGATGTAATTTCTCTAACAAATGGAACTGTAGGAGTTACATTGTGTATAACCTTTTGAGTCTGGCTTCTTTATTTCTTTTTGGCTGTACTGGGGTTTGATCTGAGGGGCTCTTGGTTTCTAGGCAGGCACTCTACCACCTGAGCAATGCCCCTAGTTTTGTTTTGGTTATTTTTCTTTTTTTTTTTTTTTTGGTGGGACTGGGGTTTGAACTCAAGGCTTCAGCCTTGCAACAGGCACTCTACTGCTTGAGCACATCTCTAGTCCTGCTTTGGTTATTTTTCAGTTAAGATCCTCTGTTTTTCCCAGGCCAGTCTGGACCATGATCCTATTATTTATGGTTCCCCTACAAGCACACGCCACTATACTCAGCTTTTATTGGTCGAGATAGAGTCTTGACAGGAACTTTTTGCCCCGGCTGGCCTCATACAGAGATCATCCTGATCTCCATTTCCTGAGTACCCAGGATTACAGGTATGAGCTACTGTGCCTGGCTTTGAGTCTGGCTTCTTCCATTCAGGGCATTGGTGCTTGCAAAAGGCAGGAACTCTACTGCTTGAGCCACACCTCCAGTCCATTTTGCCCTAGTTATTTTGGAGATGGGGGTCTCACAAACTTTGCTGGAGCTGGCCTTGAACCATAATCCTCCCAATCTCAGTCTCTCAAGTAGCTGGGATTACAGACATGAGCCATCTGCTCTCAGCTAGTGTTAGTGCTTTTGGGGCTTATTCATGATGATCATACCAGTTAGTTCATCCCTTTTTGTTGCCACATAGTATTCCAACTATGGGCAGACCACAGTATTTGTATTCATTCATCTGTTTATGGACATTTAGGTTGTTGCTAGTTTTGGGTGATTACAGCCATAGGTGTTATGTGTGTCAAGGTGATTTTCTAAAACATGAATTTGTTTATACCCCTCTTGATTGACAACAGTAGTACAGTGGCATCTTTTTTAACAATAATAAAGGAATAATTTTCTTATTTTAGACTATTTTACGTGTGGTCTCTGATCTTTTTCTGCGGAACTGGAGTTTGAACTCAGGGCTTTGTGTTTGCAAAGCAGGCGCTCTGCTGCTAGAGCCCCACCTCCAGTCCATTTTGCTCTGTTTATTTTGGAGATGGGGTCTTGAGAACTGTTTTCTGGGCTGGCCTTCCAAGTAGCTAAGATTACAGGTGTGAGCCACAGGTACCTGGCTCTGAGATCATTTCTGAGACCATATTCGCCTCACCCATTATTTGTGTATTTTACTCTTCCTCTCTTTACTGCAGTATGAGCTGTGTGAGGATGGAGACTTGTTTTGTTGGCTCCTATGTCCTTAGTGCCTAGAATGGTACTTGGTATGCAGCTGATACTTAATGGATGTTTGTTGAATGAATAAATCTTAGAAATCAGTTATTGATTAAAGATTTTATCAGGGATTAGGAAAAAAAGTATTTAATCTTGACTTTTTTTTTTTTTTGAGGTTCTGTGGCTTGAGCTCAGGGCCTACACCTTGAGTCACTCTACCAGCCATTTTTTGTGAACAGTTTTTTCGAAATAGGGTCTCTTGAACTATTTACTGGGCAGGTTTCAAACTGCAATCCTCCTGATCTCTGCCTCCTGAGTAGCTAGGATTATAGGCATGAACCACGGCACCCAGCTTTAGTCTTGACAGTTTTTAAAATAAACTTTTATTTTAGAATAGTTTTACATATACAGAAAAATGAGGAAGGTTGTATAGAGAGTTCCATTATATTCCACACCCAGTTTCTCTGTAAACATCTTACACAAATATGGTATATTTTCTACAAATAATGAACCAAAATTGACATATTATTGTTAACCAAGATCCAATCTCCACTCAGAGTTCCTTCATTTCTGCATAATGTCCTATATCTGTCTGGGGATCTTACATTACATTTAGTTGTTGTATCTTCTTAGGCTCGATCCTCTTGGCTGTAACAATTTCTTAGACTTTCCTCATTTTTGATGACTTTGTCAGTTTTAATAATTATTAGTCAGGCATTTTTAGAATGTCCCGCCATTGAGATTTGTCTGGTGTTTCTCTCCTGATTGGGATGATGGGTTTAGGGGAAGAAGACACCAGAGACCAAATGCCCTTCTCTCACATGATATCAAGGGCACATACTGTGGAACATGACATATCACCAGCCCTATTTTG